CTCTCTCTCTCTCTCTCTCTCTCTCTCTCTCTCTCTCTCTCTCTCTCTCTCTCTCTCTCTCTCTCTCTCTCTCTCTCTCTCTCTCTCTCCCCAATAACACATTTCTCCCAAATCCTCCAAGACCGTTTCCGACTTTACGATCGTCTCCTTGCTTGTCAACGACCCATCCCCCAGCACATGCAGCGCGATGCCCTCGCAACTTTCCTTGCTATCTCATCTCGCACCGTCTGTACAACCACCAGCAGCTCAATGTGGAAGGACGGAGGGAGGGGTGTATATACTATTTATTGTGCCTGAAGGACAGAAGGCATGAAGGAGCAAGGCATCTGAGGGGAAGGGGATGGGATACTTCATGGGGACGGGAGGGAAGCTCGTAAATTACTTAAACGTGTGGTGGATGAAGGGGGAAATCCCCCGATGGGGACGGATAAGACTGAAAAATTTGATAGGGAGAATGGTACACAGCGGGGGGATGTACGCTTGAAGCAGACAACAGGGGGAGGGGCTGCGCAGAAGCGAGGAGAGTTCATGCTGAATGGAAGGGGTGTGGGATGTGGGGTATGTGAGAACTGGACATGAAAGCAGGAGAGAGGAGGAAGAGGAGGTGGTGGGGAGAAAGATGATGAGTGAGGGGTGCAGGCAATAGGAGGATGTGATGGATGGCTGCAATTGCAGGCACTTGGTGCAAGATACACAGTTTTGGTGGTGGTTTTGTTGAAGGGGCCACAGTTTTTTCAGTAACTTCCAACATCAATGCTTGCACATGGGCTTCAACAACGGACACAGCAGTAGGGAAGTTGGAGAAGAAAAAGTCGAATAGGTCCGGCCTGGGCGCCAAATTACTGGGCATGGCTGAGCATGATCTACTTTTGGGGGCAAGTGTGAGGGTGGTATTGCGCCCTCTTGCGACCACTTTTACCTCTTAGCGGGTGCATGCAGTGTGCTGCACAGCGTCAGTGTGGTGTGGGTGCCGGGTGCAGCACCAGGTTATGCCGACAAACCCATACAAACGTCTGGCTCTGTTAGCGTTTGAAAAACACTGGGCGGCCCTTTGCTGCTGATGTGCTGCGATTGTGCACGCAGTATTCAGAGTAGCACGTGTGTGCACACACGCGCGCATAGAGAGAGAGGGAGAGAGAGAGAGAGAGAGAGAGAGAGAGAGAGAGAGAGAGAGAGAGAGNGAGAGAGAGAGAGAGAGAGAGAGAGAGAGAGAGAGAGAGAGAGAGAGAGAGAGAGAGAGAGAGAGAGAGAGAGAGAGAGAGAGAGAGGTGCAGTTGTGTGTGTGCATGCATGGCATTGTAAGTCAACATGTTTTCAAGGTGATACACCTGTTCGTTTGCATTTCTTTCCTTCCTGGGATGATGAGATAAGTCCTCTTTTTTTCTTTTTTCTTTTTCCCAACTCCGTTACTCGTGCAAGACTGCAGTTATACTCGATAATGACTGCCGTGTCAACGTGGTGGTACTGCGTCATTCCTTCTCTGTTTCAAGAGTTTGAATAACTGTTAACTACCGTTGTTTCTTGTCCCCTTTGTTCCTGACGCGGAGTCTGAGAAACACTGCATTTTGTGTGGTTTCTTTTTGGAAATTGTCTCAACTGGACATTTGGTCAGAAGAGGATGTGCGCCCTACTTGTGCTTGTCTGCCAGTTGCATAGGGCACTGTGCTCTGCAGAGGAGTTTTTGAAGGGAATGCTTGAAAACCTCAGCCTCGCCATTGACGGTGCTTTGCTGAGACGAAAGCAAGGCTTGCTATGCATTCCTTCATGATGGAATGTTTTTCACGCCGCAATTAAGAGTGCAGCCATTGCTGCAGGCCTGTGGCAAAAGTCCGGTCCATTATTGTCCCCAGAGTGACCAGGTTCTTCCCCTCGGAGTTCGGTCCGAGGTTGAGCGGAGTACCTTCCCGTTGCCCTATTGCTCTTCCCTTCACTCTTGGGAGCCTCGCGGTCGGCATTCTCTTGATCGAGAGTGTGGAGGCTGTTGGCAGAGAGGGGACAAAAAAAAAGGAAAGCCACCAAGATGGTCAGCAGATGGAGGGAATTGGCGAGACGGGGCATGGGAGACGGATGCTGAATGAGGATGGGGAGAGGGGGGAAATTACTAAGTCAGGCAAAAAAAAAAAAAAAAAAAGTCGAAAAAGTAAGGCCAAGTGTGACCCAGTACTGCTGGAGAAAAAAACATGAGGACAAGGAAAAGGTGGTGCGAGGAAGGGTGCGGGAGAAGAGATTAAAATTAATGCAGTTTGTGCAGTCCAACCACCGAAGTGAAAATGAAAATATGGCCTATTAGAGGGGGGAGGAAAAATTCAGATGGCCAATATATATATATAGTGTGTGAAAAAGAAAAAGAAATTTAAGATGGGATTCATGACCAAAAAAAAAAAGAAAAAGAGGGAAAAAAAGTTTTATAGAGGTGGTGGATGTGAGGATTTGGCTGCCGAAGATATGTGGAGGGAAGTGGAATCAGTGGATTGAGGAAGGGGGAAGGGAAAAAAAAAAAAAAAAAGGGACATGCAAAAGGAGCCTCAAAAAAAGTGGAGTGTTGGGGAAAACAAAAGGCAAAGGGGAAAAGTTACAAAAAAAAAAAAAAAAAGTAAAAAAAAAAAAAAGAGAAAAGCCAAGGGGAAAAAGCTGGTGAAAAAAGTAGTGAAGGCCAAAGATTTAACCCCTCAGAAAAATAGGCCACAGAAGAGTATAGCTGGAGTTTGTCAGCAGATGTGAGGCAGGGGAAAGCATGAAATCATTATGGGCATGAAAGACTTTGGAGGCTGTGAATGGCTGGTATCGATGGGCATTGCGGCGGCGCTGCGCTAGTTTCCCGACCAGTTTTCATTATCCCAATGTGTTTGGGCGAGGAAGAGCATTCTCCGAGCTTCGAAAGGTACGAGTGTGAGGTTCGGTGTACTTGGGTCTATTGTAATTGCTCATTGCACAGAGAAAAAGGGGAATGGTCAGGATTGCGAAGATAAAGGAACGATCTTTTCTGTTGTTTTGATGTGAGAGAAGGCGGAATCGTTTCTGCTCGATTGTTTGTCTATGGTATGTTGCCTGTGCGGTGTGGTTTGTCCTAGAATACACGTCTCAGACCCACCGTCTTCACACGAATACAAAACAAAGCCCGGTCATTATCAAGGTATCTGGACGGAAAGTTGCCCCAAATACAGTTATTATAATGACCGGGCGTTGTATTCAGGAGGGGAGGTTGTCGGCAGGAACGGAATCAGTACGGAGGGGTTTGGCACTGGAAAGCAAAGCAGTGTTACGCGACGGTGCCGTAGTGCGAGCACGGGCAGAATGGCAAAGTGACAACCAAAGGGCTGGACACGGCGGCGATAAGCTGTAGAATGAATGGCATGGTTCAGGTCCTGATAAGAAGATTTTTGCGTTTGTGCTGCAGTTTTCTCACATAGACTGGAGTTGTAGATAAAAGGTCTGCTGCTGCTGATATGAAAAGCAAAGGAATATCGCTGTGGTGGCTATTGGCGTTAGACTACTCTAATAACAATATAATATAATATAAAGAAAATACAATTTAGATTTACCAGGCACACCATTAGCTTCAAAAGATGCATAATGAGAAAACTTTTCTTCTCTCTGACAATTACCTCTTCTATCGGAATGCTGCTTTCATAGAGGCATTTGTAGGTTTCTGACTGCTCGTCTCCTGGGGATGGCCGTGACTGAAACCACGTCTGTCATTTGTCGTGCGCGTTCTGCGTCTGTTTTCTTCTCTTCTTTGCTGTTTGCTAGTCCATGTTGAATGGGCTTGTCTCGGTGGAGCTCTGTTCCCAGTTGCCCGCGGGATTGGGAATGCGTGCTGGAGAGTGGAATGGGCGAATGTTGGTTGGCTGATTGTATATCATTGGAATCGGATAGGTTTTCATTTCCTTGTCGTGGATGACGCTGCAAGAGGTCGAAGAGCTCTTTGTCGTCTTATTGTGCAAGTAGTTCCCCGGCTGGGGGATGACCGAAGCACTACCGCCTTCCCCTGAACACAACGCACCCTCATTTTGGCTGTACCAGACCGGAAATATAGCTTGTATACTTTTCAGGGTGTGTTATGTTCGGGGGAAGACGGTAGCACTCGAAAGATGCAAAGCCGTCTAGCTGTACTGTGGTGCTCTCTCTGTCTTGAACATGTCTTCAAATCTCTTGCAGCACTGGATATGGCAGGCGGAATCTCAAACGTATTGGTGCTGAAGGGGTTCCGTGCACATTTTTTCACACTCGTGCCGATCAAGGGGAGCTGGTGTTTTCAATGTGGCTGTACCACTGACTCGGCGGGCGTACGGGGTGACGGTGATGTCTTTTATTTGTTTAGGGGGAGAGAAGTAGCAGCCCTTGCGTGAACAGTGGTTGTTGGTTTCTCGAATAATTTTTCGTAGTATGTCCTGTGTTGGTCCCCGGGCGGCTCGGCTGGGGGAAAGTCGCCCGGGTACCCTCCCGGGCAGGGTCGTGGGTGGTTCCAGCGCATAGTATTAAAACAAAAACAAAAAAAAATCCGAAAAAAAAAAAGAGTTGTGTAAAATTGCAATGCAAACGACTTTTGGTTGAAGGGCCACCTCAAAATTTCTTGACCGCTTTCCTGACCGGTCTGGTTTTGCGGGGCGACCCCCTCTTCCTTCTCCCCCCCCCCCCCCGGGCGGAACTGACCTGGGAGACCGCCCAGCGTATAGTATGTCTGCTTCTCTCTTGCTCTTGTATGGTTTCTTGGGTGCGCTTTGGCGAGCTTCGTGAGAAAGTCTCAGGCTTTCTCACCGTCTGATCCTACAGGATTACTATGAAGATGTTGAGTGGTGATCGATGTCTTTCTGACTCTTTCGTGTGGACTGTGCCGTGTCCAGGTTCGCGTATGTTGAGTTTATTGAGCAGGAAGCTGTGCCAAATGCTATGATGCTCAACGAGACTGAGCTCCACGGCCGCCAACTGAAGGTGCTTGATCTTACCTCACCGGATTCCACCAATGTTTTTATGCATACTGAAATCATAAAATGGTAGCGAGGACGGTTGCATTACTGGGTGTATCATGCTAGGAGTTTGTTCTTAAGAGGAAGGTTTCTTTTCTGTGTATAAGGGTGTATTATGCTTAGGAGTTCGTACGCGAACTCAAACCGTCAGTACATGGCCCCAGGCAACTGGAGAACCTGTTTTGAGCCTGTCCTAAAATTTAGGAGGCCGAGCGCGGTAGACAAAATGAATTGGCCGGTGGGCGGCCTCCGAAAGGGGCCCCGCGGTGGGCGGGGCTTCCGAAAGCGGCCTGCGGCCGATAGCTGACATGAACTGGTGCTGATTAAGCAGAGTTCTTAATTAGAACTTTGTGGTACCAGTCATGCCTTTATGCCTATTGTAGGCGAAGCTGTCTTTTTCAATGATTATGTTTCTTGGGTGGCTAATTGATTTATTTAGACTAGAGAACGATAGAGAGAGAAGCGACGAGTACGAGTTCTCCAAAGCATCCTTATCGTTTAGTTCATCCAAATCCATGCCTTATTTTTGCTTTGCTGGGAACTTTGGCAATCACCATTGGTGTTTATCTATGTACATCCATTCTTATACAGGAGGTACACTGTGCCTTAGTTAGGTTTAGGAATGATTTTGTATACCATGATGGTATGGCGGCGTTATGTAGTGCCTGAATCCACCTGCGAAGGATATCATGCATCGGTGGTTGAAATGGGACTTCACCTGGCTTCGGTAGTGTGACCTGCAATGCGACCAAGAAGAGAAGATGACCACGAAAAGAAGAAGACAGACTCAGGATTAGATTGATGTCTCTCCCGTTTTCTCTCCGATTTTGTCATAGTCCGGCTCTCCTGTTTACCGCGACAACAGCAATCCGTGAATGTATGAACGGAAATCAATGTCTGAAAGATCCGTATTAGGCTATGTAGAAAGATTGCAAATTTAGCCTCTCTCTCTCTCTCTCTCTCTCTCTCTCTCTCTCTCTCTCTCTCTCTCTCTCTCTCTCTCTCTCTCTCTCTCTCTCTCTCTCTCCACCTAGATGGCCTGGTAGGTATGGCATGTCATCCCTGCTAATAAGCACAGATGTTCAAATAGTACTAAGTACTACAGTACTACTGCGAAATTACTAAGCATCTCTAACCTCCTACCGCCATAACCTGCCAGCGGCGAACAGGTAAGTGAAGATGGTGGTGCTCCGTAGCCAGAGTCTTCCTCTGGGCTCTCCCCATCCCCTTCCGCTTGCGTGCTACGGTCCTATCGCTATAGCCCAGCTCAGGGGCCTACCTCCATAGCTAGGCACTCACCCTATTCCCCACCGTAGCCAGGAGCTCTACTCCATCTCACCCCCAAGTCGTCATTCACTGAGGTCACCTCTTCCCTTTCTTGACAGAGCAGCAGCAGCATGACTCCGAATGACCCAAAATTCTTGCACCGAATGACTTTGGATTTAGTCCCTCTGCCCGCGGGTACTAGCAGGTTATGGTAATAAGATGTTGGAACATCTGTCAGGCTCCTGGGCTCCGGTTCCTCTGCCCGCACGGGTACTAGCAGCCTCTACGGGTGGGGTATTATCAGCCTCTATCGGTACAGGCTGCTAGTACCTCATGGGCTTTTAGTCCCTCTGCCCGCAGGTAGTAGCAGCCTCTACTGGTGCTGTTGGGCAGCCTCTACTGGTGCTGTTGGGCCTACATTTCCTGCCTTTTTGGTGGGAACAGCATTGCAGACTGTAACCCAACCTCTGCTCCCAGTATCCGGAACTAAGTATGACTGGTGCTATCATTGCCAGCCTACTATCCCACCTGACTGTAGGGCCTCTCCAACTTGCTGGAAATCCCTATCGAGTCCTTGGCAAATTCTATATTTAATATTTAATATTTAATATTTATCCCTTGCTGACCTAAAATTTCTGGTAATCGACCCCCACTTGCTAACCGACCCCTGTCCAAAACACAGCGTGTAGCACAGGGTCAGCGCGGGGAGCACTGACATGGGTAGACGTACGGGCATACGCACATCATCATCAGCAGCAGGTCATACTGACCCAGAACAACACGATAAAACAGACTCACCCCCAGACATCTCAGCAAAAGAGAGAAAAAAAAAGACAGCAACTTCCTTCCTTAGGAAAGTGCGTATTTTTCTAAGTCTGTAATTGTGCGGGTCATTGCACAATGCTTTTTTTTTAATTAAAAAAATTGTACCATTTCTCGATTTATGTGTGTCATCCTTGAAACACCAGTACCTACCGGTTGTTGAGGCCCAATTCTCATTTTTGCCTGCACGGCAAGTGTTGCCGAGCCTGGAGGGGGCGGGAACCGATTTGGGATACTTTCTGGAGTGGCACTGGTACCGCCCGTCGTTTTCACTCGTGCAGCACCCTGGGCGTGGCGGCCGTGGCCACAAGTGCAGTCAGATACATTCTGGAGAGAGCAGCCATTGTAAAAAAAAAAACAGAAACGGGAAAACGACTATATGATATGATTACCTTGAATTCACATGTAGAAGGCCGCAATTGCAGGGAAGATACACTCTCGACTGTGCTTCCCGTGCTCTGCCATATGCATTCAGTTTTGGGCAGGCAGTTGAATGCTTCCCGTGAGAATCTCACGGGGAGTCAGCTCAGATACAGCCAAGATCTTTGGTCTTTTTTTTAGTTGCAAGGAAAAAAGAAGGAGAAAACAGGTGCACTACGTTATTGCCGTAGATTCAGGTGCAGCGGGCCGATAGTGGAGTCCGATACATGCTGGAAAGTGCAAGCCCGAGAGTGCATCTGCCTTTATTCCCCAACTGCCCCAAATCCTCTTCCTTCTTTGAAAAAAAAAGAAAAAAAAAGATGGAAACCGGGATTGCCTTGAGATTCACATGTAGGAGGTCGCAATTGCAGGGAAGATGCACTCTGGACTGTGCTTCTCGTGCCCTGCCACATCCGTCAGTTTTGGGCAGACAGTTGAATGCTCCCCGTGAAAAACGGGGAGTCAGCGCATATACAGCCAAGATCTTTGGTCTTTTTTTTAGTTGTAAGAAAACAAAAAGGAGAAAACAAGTGCACTACGTGATTGCCCCAGATTCATGTGTAGCGGGCCACAGATGCAGCTAGATACATTCTGAAAGTTGTAATAGTGGAGTGCCCCAGACGTCGTGGCAGACACTCCAACGATCCCGTTTCTAACGCGGAGTGGCCGAAGATACAGTGAAGATTGTTCCTTTTTTTTTTTTTTTTGCGAGACAAAAAAACAAAAGCAGGAAAACGCTGCAGGCCACAAGCGCGGGAACATACATTCAGAAAGCGTGTGGAGACCAGAAGTCGCTATTCTTTGCAGTTTTCTTTTTCTTCCGTCATTGCACCCGCGCATGTGGAAACACACGTGATGAACCCGTGCAGATTGCATCCCTGCGTCCTCTTCATTTTCGTTGGGCCCACCCACTCCCTCTGCCATCCCAGTACCCAGCCTGTGCCGAACCCCGAAAGTCGCGGCGCGTTAACGGCCGCGTCGTTTTTTTTTAGCTGGGCGAGGTACTGGTGGTTCCTTCTCTGTATCGTGCCAATTTTAACCATTGTCCCGAAGGACGGTCATTGCACAATCCTGAATTCTCTAAAAACTCAGATCTTTTGTCTAGAAAATAGGAGGAGAAGTCTCCACTGGGCATTACCCTCCTCACCTCCATACAATCGAGTTAATCTGCTTTTCTTTTCTTTTCTTTCTTTCTTTCTTTCTTTCTTTTTTTTTTTTTCCAGTTGATCTTCATCAAGTTGTGTGTGTGTTACTGTTGGTTCACGTGATGGTGCAGAAATCGAGAAATTGAGAAATGACCGAGAAATGACCGAGAAATGACCGAGCAATCGAGAAATCGAGATTATACAGGGAAAATTGGCATGGCGCCTGCACAATGATGACACGGAAATTGAGAAATGAGTTCAAATGACCGAAAATTTTCAGACAATGCGAGGGTGTCGAATCTGTTGGTTGATACAGAGCAGGACGGTGGCCATGGAAGTCGAAAAACTCTGAGGACCTGTGTAATGACTCACCTGCCGGGAAAAAAAAAAGAAACGAAAAGAAAGAGATGTATGTTTTGGGCAAATCCGTTCGTCCTTGTGTGATATACTCGCGTTCTTGCCTGCAGAAGATCAGTCAGGGATGGAGTGTGTGCTTTTTTTTCCTTCTTCTTTAAGAATTCTTCGCGAGGTGGTGGTCGGACTGGTGGGTGAAACAGGGCAGAGCGGGCTGTCTGTGAAAGGCGTTGCTGATTCCTCAGATGGCTTACAGCGGTTTCATGCCATTTGGATTGTTTTGTGGGAATTGCAGGTAATGGCCAAGCGGACAAATGTTCCTGGTCTCAAGGCCCGGGGTCGCTTTATGAGGTTCCCCACCCCTTATGGGTACTCGGGTTATCGCCCGAGGCGTCCATACCCATATACGCCAGTGCCGTACTATGGAAGTCCATACGGGAAAGTGCCGCGATTCCGGCGCCCAACCCGTTACAGGCCGTACTATTAGGCAGAACTGGATGACATCAGACGATACGATGGAACGGCGATTCTGCATCAAGTCGGTGTGAAAGCTGTTTAAACTTGAAAGAAGAACAAGCACCTGTGCTGTACCACGGAAGTCCATGTGGGAAAACGCTGTGATTCCGGCGCCCAACACATCTCAGGCATCTTACCATTGGGCAGAAGTGGACGGCAGTAGACAATGGAACAACCATTCCACGTCACGTGGGGGTGGAAGTTGTCGTTTGAAAAAGAGAAAAGTGCAAACAGCGTCATCAAGCGACGTGGCCTGAACATTTTCCTGGTTGGCGAGAGGGGGAACTCGGTGGGATCTATGTGCACAACCAGATTTGGATGGAGCAGTGGTGGTTGGCTTGTTCCAAGCCTGTGGAGGGACCAGCACACTCTTGTAAGTGGAGATTACGAGCGTTCTTGTCCTGGGATTTCTTGCTGTATTTCTTTTTTCTTGCCTTTTTAGGCCCTCCCTTCGTTAATACCCCCCCCCCCCCCTCTCTCTCTCTCTCTCTCTCTCTCTCTCTCTCTCTCTTTTTGTACTTTTTAGTACTTCTTACTCCTGTTAAAAGATTTCTTCTGGCAGGCAATGGGTCGTGCTAAACTGCCTTTGGTACTTGCGCTCTGGCTGGATGGATCTCAGGCTTAACTGCCAATAAGCAGATCACGGGTTCAATCCTCATGCGAATGTTCTGGATGATGCAGGACCGCGCTTTCTGTAAGTGAACTATGAAGAAATCCTCTTCATGTTTCTCGTGCAGGTCGGTCGTTAGCCCGCTCGTGGAGTGGTTGTTCTAGTCAGGCGCAACCCTCAGCAGCGATAAGTGTTACATTGGAGAGAGAGGGTCCCGCCGTCGGTGCGTACGAAGTGTGATGCCAAGCAATTGAACGACCGTTTGGGCAGCAAGTTTTGTGGTTTTGTATCAGGTAGTGTGTGGTGATGCTGTCCCTTTTAGTGTGTGGTGATGCTGTTTCTTTGTGGGCATGGCCTTTTTTTATCTTTTGTGTTCGCCTTGGGCTTGGGGAAGACATCTTAAGCTTTCCCGGCCCCTCCGACAACATGACTGAGTAGCGTCTTTGCGTCTTTGTTGTTTTAACATCAACCATCAAAGAATGTGTTTGAGATCAAATCAGACGATTCATCGTCGACAGAAAAAATGTTGGCGAGGAAGAAGTCGGCAGCTAAAGAAGAAATATAAAACTGGCCAGGTATGTAGCGCATGTATGTAGCTCCGCTTTGCCCTTTGTGCTATTTTTGGCTTGGCTTGGCTTGGCTGATCTTCAATTTCACTGCGGATGTAATGCCCCGAATGTTTGGATCTGCTAAAGTGTGTGTAGCCGCTGTCTGTGACGATCTATAGCATAGTCGTATAACACGGTGGTGGTCTGTCCAAAAGACATCACAACTTGAAATTGTGGAAAACATGTCTCATCTATGTTTGGCTTTCATTCCCGATTGGCGGCATTAACACACTGTTGATGTGGACAGTGGAGAGTAACGAACCTGTTGGGCGGTTTTTTTTTATTTATTTATTTATTTATTTTTTTTTTGCGTGTGCTTTGCCCAGGTCCATATGCTCATCTTCGCATACCCTTGTGCATGTTCCTAGGGGCAGTTTTTTTTTTTTTTTTTTTTAATCCTAGGGGCAGTTCTAGATCTGTTGGTAATCTGATTCATTTACGCAATGGGTTTGCGATTGCAGCAAACCGTTTGCAATCTGAGCAATCAATGCCATTCAGGGGTTTTGTTGGGCGTAATGGAAGTGTAAGACTGACAATTGTATGATGTAAAGGAGGTATTGATGACTTGGGGTTGTTAGGAAACCTGAGGGATGTGAGCATTCGTAGGACCTCTGTGGCAGCCTACTGCATGAGTAGGTCTTTAAACCACCAGTTCACCCATACCTGTTTTGAATATCCCAAAAATCAATTTGCCGAGCCTGAAAGTGCGCGGGTACTGGCCTCTTTGTGCTGGACCTGCTGCAAGCTGATGGAGTGAAAAGCAGGCCGTGGGTCGTTTTTTGTTTTCAATTTTGTATCTCGTTTTTTATTTTTACTCCGTTTTCACTCATGTGCCACGCCAGTAAGGCTGAAGAATAAGACAAAAGGATGAATTGCATGGGCTGAAAAAAAAAA